CTCCTCCTCTACCACCTCCTCCTCCTCCTCCCTTCCTTACTCCTTCTCCCTTCATTTTTCTCTCACCCTCCTTCTCTCATTACTTCCCTTCCATTTATCAACCCTCTGTGTCGTATGTTCCAGACCATGTCAATAAGCAGACAACTTGGATTGATCCACGATCGGGCATGCCCAGCTCTCCGCCCAACCAACGACATGCCAACAACTGGAGACACGAGGATGAACTTGGGCCTTTGCCTGAGGGCTGGGAGCAGAGAGTCCATACTGATGGTCGCATCTTCTTTATTGATCATAGTGAGTGGAATATGTTTAGCTGTCTTTCGATGAATATATTTGATTATATATATATAATTGACAAAAGGATATGTGCAAGTGCTACTGTGAATTATAAGCCAACAGTATTTAATCATTGTTATGCAGTTTGCTTATCATGACTTTGTATTAGAAGTTCTCAAGGTAAACCATGTACCCTTACAGAGAACCGCACAACTACTTGGGAAGATCCTCGACTACTCAACCCAGCAATCGCCGGTAAAGCCATTCCATATTCCCGAGACTACAAGCAAAAGTACGAGTTCTTCAAGAATAACCTCCCGAAACCAGTGAGTCATCTCTTTGTCTTTTTGTTCTTTATTCCCTCAGATGGAATAATGAAATGCTGTAACATTACAATGACATAACGACACAGGCATTTCTTCCTGTTCTGACATTATTATGGTCTTCACACAAGTCCAAAGTTCTGATATGTATCAAAGGTGGAATGTTTTATCCCTTCCTTTTGCAGGCCAATGTTCCTAATAAGTTTGACATCAAGGTGAAGAGGAACAACATTCTTGAGGATGCCTTTGCAATAATCAGCCAGGTGACACGCGTGGATCTCCTGAGAACCAAGCTTTGGATTGAGTTTGAGGGGGAGGTGAGTTTTTTCTTTCTTTTCTTTGTATTGCTATTATTTATATATTTCTTTGCTAATCATTGATTGATTCGGTTGGGTCCATGTCATATTTTGAGATGTATTCCGAGGGACAAACATAATTAAAATGCACACAAAAGAAATGTATAATGGTCGCATTATGGATGTGCGTATATTTTTCATTGTAATGGTAGGGTTTGCTTAATCCCCGGATGTAAAGCTAAAATAAAATAGAATCAGCAATGAGTGCTAAATACCTGTAATTCTGTTTGGCGTTTAAGGGATCTGATACCTTATTTTTGCATTATCCTTTTTTAATCCGTTTTATATATAGTATATATATTTTTAGGATGACTTTCTCTTATCTATTTTGTTTTGATTTGCTACAGGTCGGTTTGGATTATGGTGGTGTTGCAAGAGAATTCTTCTTCCTCCTATCTAAAGAAATGTTCAACCCATACTATGGACTCTTTGAATACTCTGCCACGTAAGGACTTTTGTTTGAGAGACAGAGAGAGAGAGAGAATTGTATTGGTTTATATAAAAAGGGAAACTTATTGAAAAAATCTAACTGTGTATCTGTTGCAGTGAAATGGTCAGTATGTTTCTTTTGTTTCCAGAGATAACTACACCTTGCAAATCAACCCCTACTCTGGCATGTGCAATGAAGAGCATCTCCGCTACTTCAAGTTCATTGGACGCGTCGCTGGCATGGCGGTATACCATGGGAAGTTGCTAGACGGTGAGTTGAGGAAAGTTTTGTTAGCAGCTTGTTTTCCAGAATCAGCTGATAGACTCTTGGCTTGTGACTGATATGAACAAATATATAATGAAAGCAATTGGTAAGAACTGTAAATGGAAAGAAGTATCTGAAGGAAGGTGAGTAACAAATGTCAATTGAATTATTTTCAAGGAAAGATTTTCTACGTACTACATTTTACTTTTGTGAATCTTCTATCATTATCATGTCTACCACCACTATTACCATTACCACCATCATCACCATCATCACTATCATTATTACCATCATCACTATCATTATCACCATTATCATCACCATTATCATCACCATCATCATCACCATCATCATCATCATCATCATCATCATCACCACAACCATCATCACTATCATCATCATCGTTATCATTATTGTTTTGTGTAGGAGAAAGTTAGTCCATTTTTGCTGCTCTCCAATGTGAAAACAACTTTAAGCAGTAAGATTATCTTTTCTTTTCAGCTTTCTTCATCCGCCCATTCTACAAAATGATGCTCGGAAAGCCCATTGAGCTGAAGGACATGGAGAGTGTTGACTCGGAGTACTACAACTCCCTCCTGTGGATTCAGGTAAGAGGAAATGCATACTGCAGTATTGATGTCCTCTTTGCAGTGTTATTTGTGAATTTTATGTCAGCATTGGTTATTATGCTGAGATACGACTCAGCTCCTAGAGAGAGTGAATGTATGTGTATACTTCTGTCTTTACCACTTACGTGAATCCATCCTCCTCAGGAAAACGACCCAGCAGACTTAGACCTTACCTTCAGTGTTGATGAAGAGTCCTTTGGGAGAACGTCGTCCCACAATCTCAAGGAGAATGGTGGAGAAATTCCCGTTACCAATGAGAATAAGCACGAATATATCGGGTGAGTGGAATGTTCACTGTTCCTTTTAATGTGTTGTGCCCAGAAGAGATTTTTTTTTTTTTTTCTAATATTTAGCCTTTGTCTTGTTTTTATTAATAGGAATTTCTTTTTATTTATAGGAAATTGAATATTCCATAAATGTGGAAAGGATTGTCATTTCTAACCTCAGCTATGACAGAAAGTTATCCATTTACAATTTTGCATTGTCTCCAAACCATTAAAGCTTAGAAAAGGTTTCTAAAATGCCAATAGGTATATTATAATTTTACTATAGAGCCTCCTAACATAATGTTGCTACATCATCTTAGAATTGCAAAATTCGATGGAGTTGGAGCTGTGTCTAATTAACCCCTTTACTATGAGGTAACAACTATCAAGTGTTTCATAGGACCTATAATTTTACAGAAGAAAAGAGCATTCATAAAGGATAGATGGTTAACCCCTACCACATCCAGAGTCTAGTGCATTGACTGAATCTGGCAATAGGAAAGACCAGGTTACCACAGTCACTCCATGTAGTGCTTCCTCATATACAAATGTTTAAGTCAAATGTGATGAATTATGTGAGGTAAAGAAGAGAACTGGGGAAATAGTCTTCCCTCCGTGTTAGTTTTCATCACCGCTCATGCATGAAAATCTCTGCATTATTTCTTAACTTTTTACACACCTGAAAATGATTTATGAATGAGTAAGCTCAGTAGCAAAAGCTGAGTAAGCACACTTTGACATTAACAAAATTATTTAATGCAACAAAACTGTAGGGGAAAATTTGAGTGTTGGTGTAAGCTTGTAATGGCTTTTTGTGGCTTGCAGGCTGGTCATCAAGTGGCGTTTTGTGCAGCGTGTTCACGATCAGATGGAAGCTTTCCGAGAAGGCTTCAGCGATGTTGTACCCATCTCCCACATCAAAATCTTTGATGAGGTATACTATTCTTGGATCTGTTTTATTTCTATTTTTTTTTGTTAGTATAAGATAAGTGTTTTCAGTATTTAAATTGAAGTGTTCACACGCACACACACACACACACACACACACA